TATAAATGTAAAGTATTGTGTCAATTATTTAACTTTACTAGTTTGTCAATAAGTGACTCACAACGAATAAGTTGTTTTAACTTACAATTTAGAGTGGACCTCCTGGGACATGCAAAAAATGTTAAAATTAACATTTTTTTTTTTACTGTGTAATAATAATCCCCGTGGGAACACAGACGCTCGCGTGTAATGGATTATCGGCGTAGGAGAAGCGAGGGAAAAATTTTCGCTGATTTATTCTATGTTAATCGAATCGTAGAAATTGAAATGCAAAACAGTAGCCTAGAGTTGTCTGTATCTAGTTTATGATATTCGCCGTGCGATTTAACGCGCGCGTATATGTGATGTTCAAAACACAGAAGTAAATTTATATAAACTCGATCACTGGCTTCTTGAGTTTTAACTCGCATTTAGATACGCGAGATCTTGTTTATATTTAGTAACCCCGTATTTATTAGCCGGTCAAAAAAAAAAGTATACGATCGCATCTCTCTTATCATTTTTCTTAACCCTACCACCTTTTTACTCAACCATCAAACTTTACGATCAATCCGTATAAAAGTTATCAGTTAATGTATATTTTAACGTTTAGGAAAAAAAAACAAAAAAACAAAAACTTTCAGCGCAAACTGCGCCCTAGCGACGTTTAGATAACCGAGGCGCACGACAATATATTCTCGCGCGGATTTTCTTGCAAATCGCAGTTATAGCACTCGACAATTATCGGCTACGATAGTCTCGCGTCCCGAGGGTGAAAGCGAGCAAGAAGAAGAATCTAATTACCCGGTCGTGGTAGCTGCCCTCTTTACGTAATTCTATGTATCTTATCGTGTAATATACCGACAATGTTCATCGGTATCGGGTCGAGTCTGCGCGCCGGATAGAGCTCGGGATGCCCGCGTAATTCGGTTCTAACGCGTGCACTCGTTATCGGTGCGCTTTTATCGTTCGACAAGCGCAAACCGGCGGATATGCGCTGGAATCCGCGCGGCGGAGATCTGCAAAACAGACCTGCTTGCGTGGAAATATCGCTCGCGAGCATCGAAAGAGCTTCCCGAAGTCCTACTATACGTTTTTATCATTATCTACAACCCGAGAGCGATAATGCCGCCTTGATTAATGCTTATTTTTAAGCCATGTATTAGTTCGCGTGATATTACCCGCGCACGTCGTTCGTAACTTAACTGTTTTTTTTTGTTTGTTTGTTTTTTTTTAGACAACTCGTCTCGACTTATCTACTGTGCGAGTTCAATTTTAGAATCGGAGCACATAAAAGTCAATTATTTCAATAAATCAGTCGGCTTTAAAGCCGGTGATACGAGAAAGAGAAAGAGAGAGAGAGTAACGTAGAAGAAATTGTAATCACATCAATCTTATCGTGCTCTCAATATTACAGGCGATGAAAAGTAAGCCAAGCGTTACTCCGCGACAAGATGTTTCAGAATCCAATTCGTGTCTTAGAAAGAAATCGACCTCAATCCGAAAAGACGGTTTGGAATCGCTTTCGCCGGATACGTCGATTGACAAGAGAGCAAGGCGGTAAAAAAAAAATACCGTAAGATAACGGAACACGTTCGCAATATTAGCGCGATCGTCGCCGCGTTCGCGCGCTTGTGAGAAGAGCGAACACCTCGCGACTGGTCAAGTGGCATAATTGATGCGCTCGTGCACGGTTTAATTTCTAACACACGGCCTCGTTAGCGTGCTCTCGTTCGCGAACGGCAAATGTGCATCGTCCCGCCGTGGACCGTGGACGAGGAAATGAGGGGAGGGGGAGAGGGAGAAGAGAGAGAGAGATAGACAGAACGCGCGGTCGGAGAACCCGCGTGCACTCTCCCTAACAATGTTTGTTATAGCAGACGTACGTCGAGGAATGTGCGCATTATATCATTACGCACTATTACCCATTACATACCTCGTTACACCGTATATATCGTATATTATCCTAGATATGCCGGAGGAAAAAGTGAGGATTCCCGTCTTCTCCCCCTCGCTCTCTGGTGTGTGCCACTGATGAGACCCTCGGAACCATTACCATCCGCGCGTCGTCTCCCGCGCGCGCACGCGTGTGTACATACACGCACGGCGCCTCGCGTACGTGCGCGCGCGTAATACTTGACGCGGGCTATCTAATTGTATAGTAAATAACCTTCGTAAATTACGCATATAATGCTTAATACCGTCGTACGGGGCCGCGCGCCGCATTGTGCAGCGCGTCTATCGCGTTATGACCTTCAATTGCGACGTGTCAAGCAATCACGGCCGCCTTACGGACTCCGCGGACACTTTATTGACGCGCGGTGATATTGCACTCGCAAAGGGACAGAGAGAGAGAGAGAGAGAGGCGCAGTCACCCGCCGAGAAAGGAAAAAAAGACGAAAAGAAGAAAGAAGTCCTCCTGACGCGAGTTGAGGTGACGCGCCGTATCCGCTAAATTGAGTTGATTCGCGCGAGAATAACTCCGTATTAATGAACGTTACGTCGCGATGGCGACATCGATAGCGCGTAATTGTTTTATATTTATCGTGTCGGGACGCGCCGCTTTGACCAACGACGGATAATTAAACGAAGGAGATAAAACCGCGCCACGAGAAGTTTTTTTTCTTTCCTTTTTTTTTTCTGTACGTTTCGCGCTAATAGCCGCGCCATTCCGTGTTCTTCATCCGGTGAGAAAACGAAATCGCGCGTGTTTTATTTATCCCGCAATTAGCGGTAAATATGTACACGTTTGATCGATACGTCCGGCATAACTTATTTATGAGATGGCAGAAGATAAAATTTTTGAGACGCTAAAGTGAGAGTTCATCTTGATTCTTGATGATACGAAATGAAACATCGTGCGGCACGTTATGGTACGTTTAACTCGTGTATGTACTATATTGCTAATAATCTTATATTCTTGGACGTGATTATTTTAACGAGAGAATCTTAACAGTTTTATGAATAGCAATGAAGGCAATGAATTGGTAACGCGTTAACGCGTTACCAATGGTAAAATTATGCATACAATTATATTAAAAAAAAAACAAAAAACAAAAAGAACTTTTGTTCGCACCGAGTGTAAATTACTTTTTTTGCGTGCAAAACTTGAATATTCTCTGAGAGAGAGAAATTACGGCCGTTTTTCATACGCGGTAACTTTCCGATACGCGATGAGTATTCATTTACCTTGGATCCGACCTCTATGGCACACACAGTGAGCAGAGAGGACAATGTCTGGCCTGCACTTTCTCTATATAGCCGGATAACCCCGGAACAACGTTATAACGGGCTGAATCGTGGCGCGAGATTACGTAAGCCCATACGAAACCTTTCCCGGTAACATTGACTTTTTCAAGTGTAATTGGTGCTCGTGCTCCGATTACTAATCACCGCCGCGCCGCGGTGAACGTGACACACATTTGATTTTAAGTCTCGATTCGCGCCTTCGTTTCGATGCAGAGTACATTGGCCGTGCGAGAGAGTGTGCACAAAAGAACCTTTTGTATTTCGTAGAAAAGGCCTATGGCTCTCAATATCTCTTGTCAATTAAATTTGAAGCCGCGCGAGTTGGCGAGAACAATGCGTGTGCGTAAAAAAGAAGTATCTTTCACGCAAAGATATAAATAAACCTAATAGGTAAATAACATTATAAAGTACAGGATATATATATATATATATATATATATATATTGCACTACCAGTATAAAAATATGATTTATGTTCATAAACTTTTTTATAGCTGGAATATTTTTATAAATTACTGAAATATGCATTAGACAGAAAATAAAAGGTTATACTTTATATATATGTATATATTAATATGTCGAAAGAAATTTTATTTGTTGAAAGAAACTGATCCTGTTTTAATGATGTGCTCAGACTTAAATAAATTTGGAGCAAATTTTGTTTTACTTTCGTGTCTGTTTTTCAACGATTTGAAACAAAAAACCTCAGCGTGAAGAAAACAAAGATATTATAAAAACAAATCAACTTACAATCACAAATAAATTATATTATTTGCACCAAAGTATTTTAATTTGATCATTAACTTTGTTTTTTGCCAATGAAACAATCTTCAAGAGTGTATCAAACAAGAGTTACCAATTGCAAAAAAAGATAAATAATCACATAACTTTGTTGTTTATTTCCAGCAAATATCGACTTTTTTGTAAGATAATACACGCAGCAAAATAATATTGCTCCGCAATATTTAATTCTGTAATGCTTCGATTTGTATTTTAAACTTTCTGCAGCCGCGAAGATGTGCAATCGTTTTGCGACTCCAAAACTTTGCTCGCAGGTTGGCCACCATTCAGCCACGATGTAGCGATCATCTCGCGAAAATCATCTCGCGTTCATGACGGCCGATCGTGCCGCAAAACATAATATGTAAAAACAATACACATATGTACCTGCTCTAACAGTTGAGCTATCCGGTGTCAGTGTCGGTGGTCGTTGATCGCGATGGACGACAATCACCGTCAGGCACGGGCCGCTTGTAAACTAATTTTTTCTCTTTCCCCACTGGTAACAACTCCACACTGTGGCACTTGTGTATTATCGTGTATGTATATCTCGCCGAGTATACCGGAGGAGAGAAAGAGACCCGGGGAAAGAACGCGAGTGTAACGATCTCGCCGGGGGGATCGTGCGACAGAACGTGGACGACGGTGTCGCAGGCGAGGTGAAGAAAACAGACGGAGAGAGAAGCGGGGCGGGGAGTCGCGTCAAAATCCGGGAAGAGAAAAGGAGAGTGTTACGGACGCGGACTTGGCGGCCCTGTTCTGACACAGATCACTGACCAACTCCACTTCGAGACTGACGCGATACTAACTTCGCGTATCTAGCCGAAGGAGCGCGACACAACCGGCTCCGCGACGCTCGGTCGTTTCCGCCGCGGCTCGGCGCCGTTCGGTCCCCGTCGGCCCTGCGTGCAGGTACACACCGAAGGTACGCGCGAAGGTGTACGAGCGCCTGAGCGCGGACCCAGGTGGTGTGCGTGAGCGTACACGTATAGGGCCGTAGTACGTCAAGGTAACGTGTGTGTACGAAGGTACGCCCACGCAATTTGGGCCCCCGACGATAATGAAGAACTCGGTCGTACCTTACGTGAGCGCGTCGATACACCGCGAAGGTATATTTTAGAACAGAGCTCCGCACTTTTACACAAGGGAAAAAAGCAAGAAAGTTTTATTTATTTCTTTTTAATTTTTAGATTTTCTTTTATTCAAAGATTTCACATAAAATGTGATTTTTAGAGTTTTTTTTTTATTCTGGTTGATGGAGTCTTATAATTTAACACGCAATCTACTGAAATTTGAATGAAATTTATACTTTTTATATATAGTTTTTTAATTTTTACTTTGCGAACACCAAATGAGGAGAGAATTTTTTAACACACTGAAATATAGTTACTGCTGTCTGCGATTGTCGAGGTTTTCAGAGCTGCGTTAAATAATTCACATTTAGCGCGATTTGCGCTGTTTCACGCAACATGAAATTGATAAGTAGGAACGCGAGATTTATGAATTTGATAATGATAAACTCGCGAGCGCATTATATTGCGCGCATTACGGAATTACACAGCATTACGGGTTGTTTTGACCGTAAGTACGATATTCAAGGATATAATAGAATGCGAAGGAACACACGTAAACGTCTAAAACCTAATGTCCGCAAAACCGCTACGATATAAAGATTGAACGCACACCACGAACGGAAAAATATGATGTGTACAAAGTGATCCACTCTGTATCCCTACAATTTCACATCTCTTTGCTCGATAGAGATCTTGGTTAGATATCACTTAATAATTTTACAGATGCTTAGACACAAGCATATGCTCAATATCTCTCAAATTTTCTAAGTAAAAAAAGAAACTATAAATAACAAATAAAATATTACTTAGTTTCAACAGAATATAAAATAATTGACACAAAATAAAGAAACAACAAATATAAACTCATATAGTGTTCAACAGGTAGAAAATTTACGGTCAATACGAGTCAATATGCACACACACACATGTATGCAAAATATATTTTTTTTAATGTGTAAAATTAATACATAGAAATTCAAATTATAAATATATTTTGTTAAACGTGTAAAATTAATATACGTAGAAACTCGTTTGAATTCGAGTTTCTGTGTGTATTAATTTTACACGTTTAAAAAAAACTACATTTTGCACGTACGTATTGGCACAAAATAAAAAAATTTATACATACAATTAGAACATCTTTCTCTCTCGTAAAGGAAGTGCCTTGACGTCACAGTTTTTCTCCTCTGTGACAGAATATTGAAGTATTCCGACCAATCGCGCGCGGTGACGAAGCCCGATCGGATTGTATAGAAACGGGTATAGATGTAGAAATCAGAAGCGCGGTTTATACCGCATCTACAGTTCACACGAAACGGAATGTCTCGGCGAGGAATCAGGCCGACGAGCGTTTTCTGCAGCGCGCGGGTGCACGCGGCGATCCGCGCGGTCGTGAGATAATTATGGAAATGAATTTCGATCGTTATGGGGGCGTAGATCTCGACTCTTCCGTGACATGACTCGGCCTCGACAACGATGATCCCGCCCAGAACCATAATTTTCCCTACAATTTTCGTGCCTGCGTGTAAACACCCAACGGTATATACGTTAGGGTTAGTGTACGAAACGCGAAATAACGTTTATTTATATGTAATACGTCGATGATATCACAGTAATCACATTCGAAGGCGAGGAGTGATCTGCTTTTTATTTCACGTATTCGAACGGAAGGCAAATTTCTGCGGCATTATAACGCAGAACGCGATTTTGTAGATGTTCGATGTTTTTTTTGGAACATAGGTACATGCTCTCCGACTCTCTTCTTATCGTCCAAATAAAACGTCAGCAAACGTTTTTTCTTGCGAGCACACAGATCTTTCTATGGTGTCGCAATTAATAACAGTGCGCCATTATAATGGCCAGGACCAGGTTTGAAGAAGCTATTCTAGCGATTTTGCGCGTCGCGCGCCGCGTGAATGGGACGAGTTATCAGTCAAATGCTAACGTCGAGTACACAGGGCTCTTAACACCCCGACTACTCCTTAAATTAGTCTCGCGGCGAAGCTATTCAGAGAGACGTGAAAGGACCGCGGAGGAGAAGACGTGACAGAAGCCGCGCGCGCGCGCGGAGGAACGACGTTTTGTGTATGGATGTCTTTTCGCGCGACTTCAAGTCGCGAGAAAGAACGACGGGAAAGAACAAAGTGTGTGTGTGTGTGTGAGAAATTGGACAAGGACACAGAGGTTTGGATGCGTCGCGAGAACTCGATTACAAACGTGTATGTGTGTATGTTGTAGCGCATTAGCCCGCTCGCTCTGCGAGCGTATATACTCGTATTTAACGGCATTACGCGCGCGCCCGCGCGCGGTCACGATTCATGCATAATTTATCTGAAAGCACGGTGAAAAATAGTTTTGACCTCAAGGGCCAGGACGGGAAAGGCGTTTTGTCCGCCACGCACTCGACTGTGCCGCGACTGCTGTCTGCATAGAAAGTGGCTGCCCTCGCGCTGCGTTACGTGCGAGGGTGCGCTGGACTGGTCCGCGTTGCAGTCCGATTGGCTAAGGCCGCTGTTAGGACCGCTCGCGGTGTTAATGGCATTGCCCTGGCGATCGCTCTCGCCAAGACGGCGACACGTGTGTATGTGTGCGCACACTCGCTTCGTGACGTTTTTGCAAAACCGTGCGACGTAATTCCAAGTATATAGTTTGTTAGAAGATAAAAAAAAATTTGAGCATGTACAAAAGCAACAAGAAGAGCGAAAAGTATACGCGCACAGTTCGAAAAAGCTGTAAAAGCACTTGTGTGCGCGCGCGCGCAAAATTTCCAGCTATTCATCACTCGTGGGAAAAATGACCGGAGTCAGGAAACGCTTTATTATTGCCGTTACATTGTGGCGATAAATAATAATAAAATATACTCGATCACCAGTCAGGCAAGATTATCGCCTGAGTCTATTTGACTTTTTCAACGTGAATATCTCAGGATACGGATTTTTACAGTTTAATTATCCGTGTATGTACGTGCGCGCGCCGTTGTAAACGCCCGCGAGGTGAATATCGTCATGGTTTTAAGTGGTTCCGCGTAATCCGGCAGCATCCTCCGATAGAATCTTCTCAAGCCGTGTTATCACCTGCCATAGGAACTTGGCACCGCTCGCCTCAATGGCTTCTTAACGCTATACACAACGCTATATGGAGAGAAAACCTGTTTGTCATGTATCTCGCTCTCGGGATATATTAACAGCATTCTGTCGCTCACGTGCAACGTCTGGTGCAACCCAAAGGAAACCATGTTTCTTGCTCTCTTTCTCGCTCGCGCGTTGCGTCGACAATGAAACTTCCTGTCCCATCGTATAACATATACAGCACTCCACCTTGAAATCATTGCGAAGGGATCTGTTGCGATGCGCGTACAACAAGCGTATCACCGTGTGTCATCTACTTCTTTAATTAGCGATATTTAAGCGCGCGACGACAAAACGTTTTTTGAGCATTTATTTACCCGGCCCGCGAGCGATTCGCGTCGCGGAACTTCCTTTACACGTTGTTATCTTTTTCATGAGCAAAAACTTACTTCTATCTTCTCTTCGAATCGTTAATTAAAACAGACATTGAATAGTCTATAGTTCTGATTAGAGAGAGAAAGAGAGAAAGAGAGAGATGGAGAAAGAAAAAGAAGTTCTAGAAAAGTTTTCTAGAAAAGAAGAGAGTGTGTTCTCTCTCTCTGTAGTTAATAAAAGGAGTACTCTTGACACATTTAATAACGTTATAGAACGAGTTTCTAAGTCCCGAGGATAAATGTTTTTTTCAGAGTAAACAAAAAGATAGATATATGCGAGACGCTGCTCAGACGCTGGCACGTAACTCTTTCGCATGCGCGTCAAAACGCCAAGCTACTACTCGATAAAAAGATCAAGACGGCCCGTTGAAAAATCGTCAGTGACACAAAAATCCAAAGCAGGAGGTGGGGAAGAAAAACGCAACTTACTCGTAATTTACACCACAATTTCCCGTAGTGCCTTTAGAAGTTCTCACGTTTAGCATGCTGTTAAACGAAGGGAGCGTCGTCTCCTCCTCGCCAATAATATGTTAATGCTAGATATAGCCGTGTGTGTAAGCCGAGCGCGTAATGCCTCGGCTTAGTAGCGAGGCATCGACACTACCATATACTCGTTACCACTGACACTCTCGCTGCTCGTCCATAGCGGCAGCCAGTATATCCAGTCCCGCATATAATTTTAAACCGCAAGATATACGGGGTTTACCCCGAGGTCAAAGTACGCGCGCGTCTCTCTCTCTCTCTCTCTCTCTCTCTCTCTCTCTCTCTCTCTCTCTTTCTCTATCTTTCTCTAGTCGCGAGTTATGAACGAGGCACCCGGACGAAATTATTCCGTCGATTCCGCCGATGCTTTCGGAAAGGGGGCTGAAGGGAGGGCGCGAACAAATGATAAATGGCCGCGGCTCGTCGTTTTGTACCGCGCGCGAGTCTACGAACGACTCAATTTCCCATCGCTTGCGGCCTGTCACGGTTCTGAATTCCACGAGCAGCATCAACGACATATACACCAAGCGATTCCCAAGTGCGTTTTAAAGTTTATGCTGGAACTCCCGGTGCGCGCGCGCGCGCAAAGCTCGCGAACAAAACTCCGCGAAAACACACCACCAATCCGGGAGTCTCAGGAGTAGTTTCGCATTTCTCTCCCTTCGTTAACTTCGCAAATGTGTCTGAATTAACAGAGTTGTGATTAGTTTTAGCAGAGCGAAGCGATTAACTTTAACTATAAATTTAACCTTAACCACAAACCTTGTGGCACATGATTTGAAAAAACAAAAATCGAGCCCTCGTGAAGTAATGAATGTCGACGTCTCGTCCGAGTGTTTGTTGCAAAAAACCGCGCGTCGGGTCATCATCGTCTCATCGATCTTATCCGCTCCCTCTCTCTCTCCGCGCGACCCCATCTCATCTACAAAGTAGACATCGTGTTGTTACTATTCCTGGCGCGCCTGTTGCTACTAATTACAGACTTCGACAGAAATCACGCTACGGGAAGCGCATCCCGGCGTTCTGGTTCTCGCGGCCGCGCGCGTTTAATATCCCTTTGGTGGCGCATAATACAGTCGAGTCATCGTTTCGCGGAAGGACGTCGTCGTTCCCGTCGCGTCGCCGCTAGTGGACAACATCGTCGAAAATTAAATTTCCTGCGTGACGCGGACGCTCGCGGTCGAGGAAGAAAAAAGAAGCGGATCCCGGAAAGAGGGATGAGAGAGGAGAGAATCTCGCATACACAAGAGACGGAGTGATATACCCCGTGTCACGTTTGCACGTAGCCCGATGGTTACTCGTAATTCCGCGGAAGACGTACACCGCCTCCTCCGTGACGTAAGACCGGTTACGAGCACGAAAAAGATGAGCGATCGTGTAACGGAGCGTACGATGAGTCTGCGGACGCGCATTTTTCCCGCGGCATCGCGCCGTTCTCTCTCTCTCTCTCTCTCTTTCTTTCTCGAGTAGCCTCGGAAACGAAATGGGAGCACGTATACGTGTCGGTAATAATTATTTCTTGTTTCACGACCGCGAACGGAGATGGTTTACGACCATCATCGATACGCGCGCTCGTCGTAACCAACGGACAATTGTATTTTTTCTCGGCGCTCGATTCGTTAATTTTACGCGCAAGAATGATTAAAAAAACGGAATTTTTCAAAGAAATTTTGCAAAGCTCGCTCTGGGTGATTCTTTTTGCAAACGTTGATGACGTCGCCATCTATCGCGCTCTTGAGAAAAATGTCCGAGCTGTTAAGTAAAATAAACACAATCTCGCACACGAGAAAGAGAAAGAGAGGGAGGATGAGCAGCTTCAGCGCGCGGCGCTCAATGAGCAATGAAAGTTCAATCACAGTTAATTGCAGGTGGTCTCGAGAAGAGCGAGAGGATGCCTCTTCCTGCGCTCGTAGATCGTCCATTGGAAGAAGTGACGGCAATGACGGATTCGCGTTACGACCTCGCGGATCTCTAATTACCGTGCGCGATATTAGTTATCGCAGGACATGAATCATTGCTATCAATAAAATGGAACGCGCGCGTTAGCGGCTTGCGCGTTGAAAAATCATAAGAATGTTAATAACTTCTCGGTGTTACTTAACCGCGCGCGAACGCGCGCCTTATAAAGGCGGAATTAGTTCCTAATCGAAAGTGTTTGTTAACCATACGCGCGATCCTCAACGTCAAGACCTGAACGTTAGATTAATTAGCAACGAGATACGGTCTCGCCTATCACATTATTCGAATACTATTCACTCGCGTTACGAGCGAACGATTTAATCGCCTGTGTTAATGTTCTGAATCAAATAAAAAAAAAACACTGTTCAAAAAATGCATCAGAAGTGAAATGTGTTAATATTATGAAAACCGACGTTGTCATGCGCACTCTTAAAAGTAATATCGCTCTTAACGTCGTCATATAGCGCGAGTAATGAACTCCCGATTGGGGAAAAAACGCAGCGACAATGTAATGCGAGTTGTCCGTGGGAAAGTGGCTGTTGCGAGGAATCTTAACGGACGCGAATTACATCCCGAAGAAGGACGTTGTTAGCAACAATTAAAGCGCGGACACGGTTTACAGCCCGAATATCATAAGACTTTATAGATCCTGAGGTGCGCGCGATGGTGTAGAAAACGCGCCCGGGGGCGTCGTTGACTTGTTCACGCAGTTAGCTCAATAATAATCGCGCGATAATTGCCTCTAAGAATCTCGTATTGGCTTAACCTGACAGTGATCAGTGTGTACTCGCGAGGTATACAGCTACAATAATTAGCTTGCGTTTCGCCACATTACTCCACGTTGTATAAATCAGATCCGTCTTCGAGGTATTTTTCCATTTCTTTCGCAAAACGGCATTAATACGGCGATTCCGCGTGTAATAACGGTATTGATTGCTTCCTTTGCAAGGCTGCGCTCGTCACGTTCAATTATCAATCACAAAAATTCTTGATATAGGTGAGAAGTTGAATCGTACAAGCGAGGAAAAGCAAACGCGCTTTTTCAACTTCAAGAAAAATGCTTCAAGAAAGCACACACGTTTGGTTCACAACGCGCGTCTCCCTCAACGTGACACATACATATTTAAGATTAATCACGTGGAAAGAAATTTGAACGAACGCGAGAGAACAATCGCGGTGTCTCGGCAAAACTACATTGAGTTAGCGATACTTTTTTTTTATAGATACACTTTTGTGCGCGGCGATGCGCTTTGCGCGGATAATACGGCAAAAAATCGCATGCGGTATAGACAGCAATATTTTCGCACTTGTCATGTCGAAAGATCATAAAAGCTGAAATTGCGTCTGGCGCGAGCAACCGCAGTACAATGCAACCGCAATGTATTTTTGCTCTTTGGTCGGCCGTTATTTTGCTATAACGTCGCAATGTCTTCTGCAAGCGCAATTTGAACCCAATTTGTATTTGCAAGAGCGAATTTGTCAACGAGAAATAAAAAGGAAAAGTCATGCAAAAGAAACAATTCATTAGGTGAAAATTCAACAAGCTGAAAATTACAAAAAAGAGTGAACAAATATTCATAGAATATCTACAATCTTATACTATATCTTATACTATGTTAAAAAAATTTAGTAAATTTTTGGATTTTTGTTATTTTTATCTCGTTTTTTCAACATATAAAATCGATCTCCAGGGGATTATGTAATCCCTGACAACTTTTCAGTGTTTGCTTCTGTGCTCTTATTGGATCGAAATCATGTGACTCTGTGTGTAACACAGTGCCCATTAGTGTGAGAAAGAGCATATCAGTGTGTCTCACTCACACTAGTGAACACTGTGTTACACACAGTGTCGCCTGTGTACGTAGCTGGATAGCTCCCACAGTCGACGACGCAAATCCTATCGAAAACGCATGGACACACATTAAACACAAGCTTCGTGAAAAACGCACGTACACTTCGAAGCAGTTATCTCGCGAAATTCGTCAGATTTGGAGATCTTTGTCGAAAATACGCCACTACTTTGGTCAACAGTATGCCTCGGAGATGTCAGGCAATCATCGACGCTGGTGGTGACTGGTCACATTATTAATAAATTTCCATCTTTGTTCTGGTCGAGTAGTACATAGTATAAAACCATTGAAGCATTCAGCTTTGTAAGGCATAAGATAGATTTAGATAATTGTTTGCGTTGCCGGCGTATCCAATACGTACGGCGTAACCGACGTAAGCAGCACGCTGTCGGCGATATCCAATCAGCTGGTGTCATTTGTCGAAAACAGGCAAAAAACGGCCAGCGAAGTCCACGTGTTCGCTACGTAGCGAAGCAGAGACGCTCCGACCGCTGCGTTTAGCACATAAATTACTTTGTACAGTCTTAGTATTCTCACTCTTTCATTATATTCAGTTGTGTATCGTATAATAAACCGTTGTTACATTTATATAATAAGAATCAGCATACAGTCAGTGTTATTTAGTGCCTGTCACACAATCCTTTCTCCTGTGCCGGCTTCAACGGAAAGTGAGTATCGTATCTACTTGTCGCGTGCCCGGTCTTCCCTTAAAGTGAGATTTTATCATCTCTTACAGTTTAGAACTGTGTTTCCAGCAACGGAAACACAGTTCACTTTGTGATGCAGTGTTATACAGTGTCGATTGTATATATAAATATATAGCTGGAACAGTATTTTTTATTTTATTGTCAGAGCGCAAGACAGTTATTTTACATAACTTATCAGTAGAGCTGTGTTCGAGGAGCGCGCTTCATTATTGCATCATTCTATTCTTATTGCTCATTAGATATAAAACAAAATAGAATGATGCAATAGTATGCTGCTCTCCGAACACAATCTACTATCTTTTCATAGTTGACATTGATTCTAAAAGAAATTGATTATGAAACTATAAAAGGATAAATATGTAAAAAATATGTAAAAAGAATAAGTATGTGTTGTAAAAAAATACCTGCTATATGAATAAATACGTAAAACTCTGTCAAAACGTATATATTTCTTAATATCTCAATATATTTATACAATATAAACCAATCATTATTACATGTATATATATAATAATGTAAAATATACTAATAACACTCGTTATCCTGCAAAATCTTCTATATACTGCGTTCAATTTGAGAAGAGAAATCTCGGAAGGACAAAAACTTGTCCTCGTCATCTCGCGTACTAAAGTTTTCCCACTCCACAGCCATTGGCTGTCAGCAAATATTCCACTAATTTCGCACGCAACGCTATTCCCACTTTTCTCGCTTTTCTTCTCCTATGCACAATAAAACTTCCCTTCTCAAATGAGACGCAGTATAGAAATGAGTAGAGAAATGATTGGATCTCTCTTATACGTTATGATATATGTACGCAAAAATTGCGGAGTCACGAGAAAATTGGGGAAAAATAGCAATCGAATACATTAGGTGATCTAAAAGAAGAAATCTTGATGTATTTCTGTGCTTGTTATACATACTTGTGTGTATATATGTACAAAGGAGAGAGAGAGAGAGAGAGAGAGAGAGAGAGAGATCAGCAAAGAGAGTTTTCTATAATTAAAAAATTCTTATAATTTGTAGCGTTTTCGATCGATACGAATTGAAACTCCGCTTCGGAAAAAATCAATCATCGAAAATCAAGCAATATGTTTTTATATTAAAGGTAAGGATATTCTGACTTTAATTAAATAGCCGCGTGTGATCGGTGTGAGAGAACTCAATGACTTCGTGACTAATTAACCAATTTTTCACAAATACCGAGGCACAGACTATTCAATTTAACAATGTTGTTGTCTTGTGCTTTCTCGGCGTGACTTCTCTCACATGTTGACAATCGGCAATGACTTTGATATTTTAAAGTGGTGCTGAGGATGATCAAAATAAATGATCGAAACGTTCACCTTATTTAAATTGTATATTATATTTACTACCTTTAATCAGTGGTTTAAGGCTGTGCGGGTCTATTTTGATTAATTTAATTAAATAATATAATCGCGAATGAAAATCAATAGTTTTTGTGTGTTACAGATATGTGTCGGAGGACAGACGAAAAAGATAATTGCTCCGTTCACATCGTAATAACTAAGTGTTTTTGTTGTAAACGTAAAACAGCTATTAATATGAAGATGTAATCACTTATAATTGTCAATAACTAAACCAAAAATTTTGTCAATTTCCATTAAAGTTGATTACATACAGAAAACTCAACAGTTATACAACGATTGAAAGATGATCAATTGTGATAGAATTATTTTTAAAAACCTGCTAGGGTCCCAAAAGTATGACGATATGATCAAATCGTAAGTGATAATCTCTCAATCGTTGTGTAACTGTTGAGTTTCTGAACATAATTATTGAAAGAAATATATAAAATTATACATAATTGTTTTCTCTCTGTATTATTTATTTTTGTTTTATATTTTTAGCACATATTCAACCTGTCTCGTAGAAGCAAAATGTAGAATGTGTCAAAATACAAGTCAATGTTATTATTATAACTTTACGACAATTCGGAAACTTTACCAGATATGCGAGAACAACTTCTTAATAGCAAAGAAGCTGCAGAACACGAAAAACAATTTTATAAACAAAATTGAATTATCAAAATCGAATTGTCAAAAACAGGTATTGTCAAAAGAGCAGCAGCAATGTGTTGTCACGTTGGAACTTCATATACAATTGCAGTCACTTAGTACAGTAGATTAACTATTATGTAAAGTAAAGTAAAGGAAGATGCCAGAGCTCGTACCTGAAAATTAACATTTATGTGTTTTATCTCTGTAAAGTAACTGCTTTGTTAACATTTTGTGCTTTGTAGCTAAAATCTGAGATTGAATGCTTTGCTAACAAATAAATAAACATAGTTTCATAATTAAATGTTATGAAGCTATGTTTTATAATGAATAAATGAGTAATATTGCAACTAAAACTTACTGTCGTTATACAAATATGTAAATTTACATATAACATCTAATAATTGAAAAAATAGATAAAGATAACACTTGGTGCATTCACATTCACATTAGTACATTGAGTAAAGAAACTGCAAGATTGTCGTGATCAAAACTAATATAAAATAAAAAAACTTAAAATTGAAAAATAATAAAAAGTATAAATAAATATGTAAAAATTAATACAAAAACGTTAAAAATTAAAAATAATAAATAACTACAATTAATAATGATAATATTCATATATTGATACACAGAGTGCTTCGAAGTAAGTAGCCTAACTTTGGCATCATATTCTACTTTTCCTAAGGATAAAAAACGATCATATAAACATAGGAGTTCGGAAACTCTTCTTTTTCGAGATACAAACGCTTTTTGTTTACTACGAATTTTACATGGATAGGTATCACACGCAGAATTACGAGAACTGTAACTTTTTCTTTTAGTAAATATTGTGGTAGAGCAAGTCATTCTATTATTGAAAACAGCTTGTGTCGTAGAAAGTCATTTTCAGCAATTTCTTTAAGTAAGTTACAAGTATTTTTAAAATATTCTCCCACGAATAAAAAGCGTTTAAATCTAGAAAAAAAAGAGTTTCCGAACCTATATGACCTTTTTTTTATCCTTAGGGAGAGTAGAATACCAAAGTTTGGCCACCTATTTCTGAAGAACCTTGTATAAAAAAATCTATAATAAACACATCAAATTAAAGAATAAAATTTAAAAATAAAATATAAAAATATATTTAAAATAATAATAATAATAATTTAATAAGATTGAAAAGATAATACGACTCATAACCGAGAAAAGCAGCAACATCTTATATCAATTAGACACTTTATCCAGTAGCATTTTACCAATATTCACATGATGTTATATTTTCAATATTTTTATTAATTTTTATACGTTATACGTTATAAACGTTTATCTTTTATGTGAATATAAACAAGTTCAAACTGTACAGCGATTACACAATTGTATGTGATCAGACAAGAACTAGTACTTTTAACTGATATGACCGAACTACACAATTGTATGTTTTTTTACTTGCTAAAACACTCAACAAATTATTGCATCTTCCTTAACTTTACTCTAACTTTACGGAATTGATTTCCATTGACTCCATATTTCCAAACGGAATTGATTGCAAAATATTATTAGTATTACACATATGTAATAGAGTTTTGATGTATAATAGATCATGAAAGACAACAAAGACAATTTGGATAGTTTGATTGCAAATATAAAACAGTTTCTATACAAGCATGCTGTTAGTACTGCTATTATGCACTCAAAAAATTTGAATAGCGTGTCGATAACTTGAGGTAGGAATTATTTATATATCGTTATTTATCAAATATATATAAATATTTATATATCAAATAATTTATATATTGTTATATATTTTCAGAACTCTATATCCTTGGCGCGACAACAATGAATGTACATATATAGCAGTATGTGATAGATAATTGTAAAATAAAGTATATATATGAGCAAATTAAAAGTTTTTTTGTAATTATACATATAATATATATTAACATAAATCTATACTTCACGTAACATGTGCTATAGATTTCAATATCAGAAATATCTACGAAACGAACTATCAAGGAGATAAATTGCGATTCTCGATGTTTTTGAATTTGTCGAAGCAGCGAACCAACCACAATTCAAATCGTGTATCGAACTCCGATATCGATAGATCACATTGACTTTCAAGAGAATATAGTTTCTAGGTTGGCTACTATGACTCGCGTAACTTATTGGTGGCATCACTGCTAGCAACGCTTTTCCGCATTTTCTGAGCGCGTTGGTCTTTCTATTCTGTTCTCTCCGTTGATCAAGATGGCTGATCAGGTACGTGTGCAATTCTGTGATATTAGTAAGTCGAATATCACGTACGCGACGATGTTAGTTTGTGAAATCGTGTTTTGTTTTCGCGACAGTTAGTTATTATTAGCGTTTGATGAACAAAAAACGCGCGTAAAGAGTCCGACTGAAATCGCATACGAGAGTTGGGTTAGGTTCGCTATAGCGGTTAAGTAGCGCACGTGTCCGTATTCTCCGGAATTTATTTTGTCGTTTTAGATAAAATGATGCGTAATTCAAACACGATTTTTTGTTTGTAGACCGAGCGTGCTTTCCAAAAGCAACCGACGATCTTTCTTAATCGTAAGAAAGGTCTGGGCCCGAAGCGCAGGAAGCCTATGAGATACAGCCGTAATGTCGGACTTGGTTTCAAGACGCCCCGCGAAGTAAGTACAAGTTTAATTCGGTCGTTTGGTCACTCACTTTACTACTTTAAATTTTGTTGGCTAAATTTTTGACGATAGTTTTTCGAGAAACAAATAAATTTGTCAAAATTTAAAGTCATATATCTGCGTATTTAAAAAGTGCTATTAAATAGAAAAATAAATAATTGTAAATGATGATAACAACGACGGTCTTCTGATCATACAGTGAAGATACTATTTTATCACGTACTGAACTTTTTACATTTCTGTTTTAGTAGAATTGAAAATATATTGCATAACATGCAAATGTTTTTATTTAATTTTTGCTTTTGACTCTTCGCAGGCTCTCGAAGGAACCTACATTGATAAGAAATGTCCCTTCACGGGCAACGTCTCAATTAGAGGACGTATTCTCACTGGTGTTGTACAAAAAATGAAGATGCAACGTACTATAGTTATACGCAGGGATTATCTGCATTATATTAGAAAGTACAATCGATTTGAGAAGCGTCATCGTAACATGAGTGTCCATCTCAGCCCTTGCTTTAGGTATATAGAAAATAAATTCTTTTTTAAAATTGGTTTTTAAACTCAGATTCTTATTTTTTATGATGTATACTTTTTATCACGATGGTCTACAGATATACCTTGATGATATCATATTTTTTCTGAATAACAAAATGTTAAACATATGCAACAACATTTAGTTGGTTTTAGTATTTGTAAATCTTGTATTTTTTGTTGTAATCCTAGGGACGTAGAGATTGGTGATGTAGTCACTATTGGAGAATGCAGACCTTTGAGCAAAACTGTGAGATTTAATGTATTGAAGGTTTCAAAGGGAACAGGATCAAAGAAAAGTTTCAAGAAGTTCTGAATCTACTTTCGTGGCAATGGTTTGTACGTATCTAACGTTTCTTACGTCTATGATGTTACTAGTGATGTAAACTAAATTAAATTAAATTAAAAAACAAAAAAGGTGTGTTAATATCTCACATTACTTTGTTGGATAATTTTTACAGATTTGTTAAAATTTGACAAATGTTAAGGTAAGAAAAACTTGTGAAAGCTTACAAGTCATGTAACTGTAAAAAAAGTGGTACGGTTATGTGTGTTGTAACTTTCACATTCTGTGAAAATGAAGGAAATAAAGTACTTTCTGTAAAACTATCGATTACTTATAATTAATACTATCCTTTTACTATCATGGTTTTAACATGTAAAACAATTCCGTATAATACAGTCAATAACTATCGAAAATAATTAAATATAGCCTTTACACTCAATTTGTAAAAATATATTTTATTCATTTTATAACAAGAATTTAAGATATACAAAAGAGTATTTTACCTATTTATTATATGCAATTTGGCAAATGCTATTGTCAAAGTTTTACTGATGATAGAAACAAATATACACAAATTATAGTAATAGTGAATATAAAATGATTTAAAATGTTGCTTATAATAAAATTATAATTTTGACTAATAATGGACGGTTCATAATTATAATAGTATTTTTATAGTCAAAACTTTTTATATTGTTTTCCTTCACTAGTATCTCAAATTATTTCATTGTCACAAATTTAGTATTATTATTATTATTATCATTATTTGCTACAACAATTTTTTATGGAAAGAATTATCTCATTAAATTTATAATAAAAACAATTTATATTAAAATCTATTAAAAATATTGTCATATTATTGTGATACTTATGCTCCACATAAATATATAACTATATTATATACTTCTAATATATAAATTATACTTTTCTATAATAAAAACTCTCACTCACAATGTATAAAAAGATGCGGACCTAAAGTCTCTTGTACATAAAAATTATTCCATTATAATATAAAAAAATAAGATAAGAAAATATATTTTTGATATAAATATGCAATCATTTGTAATTTGTCTTTGGAATTTGTAATAATACATGTAGATATATGACTTTCTTAATGATTATTTCTTCAACAATCACAGCACTTGATTCTTAATGTATACACACATACATATATGTAATTTTCAAATTTATATATATATATATATCTACATGAAAATATATCTTCTTATCTTATAACAAACTTTTGTCTCTACATAAAATACAATCAATCACTCACAGTTACATTTGTTTTAACCGCATATTCAGCAATGTAGAGTATATATATAATGGGTCCGGCAAAACTTAATAACAATGAAAATAGAAGGAGCTGCTTCCAAGACAAACCCCAATTGTCTCCGGAACACTGAAATATGTCTGTTTCACAAGGCTCTACTATTTCAGTGGTTTCCGTATCACTAAGCAAGTAATCGTGCTCTGTGTGGGAAACTTCGGATAAATTGGCACTGTTGTAGGAGGACAAAGGTTCACATACCGAGTTCAATATAATAGTATTAATTTCTTTAGCTGGAGTTTCTGTACTTTTAGACGCAGTGCTTAAGTCAATCAATTGTTCGTCACTTTCCGCAGATGCTTGACCACATTGTGCAGATGAGATGACAGTATAACCTTGTTTTTCAGATAATGCTTCAGTTAAAAGAGAAAAAGGTTGTACAGGAACCTTAATATAAGGCTTAGCGTATATTTCATTTTCCTTGTCGATTTTATTAATTCTCTTCAACTCGGATATCTGAAATTGCATGAAAAAATTGAGTCTATAAAGATATGTAGTTTATACATAATTACATCTCATGTATTTGTTACTTACCGTACATCTGTATCGTAGAGCCAATGCCTGCAGGGTATCCTCAGGACTTACTTGCACATTAATCACCTCGATTCTGCGACCAGACGTGGATCGTTTGATATTTTGCAGCGAGATGCTATCATCGTCTCCACTACTTTCGTCATCCGAATGTAAGAAAATATAATGAGGAGAACCTTCCCTTCCTCGTTGATAAATCATCTGCCTAACGAAATTATATCTACTCGTTAAAAAGTAATTGTGTTATGTAATCTATTTAATAAAATGTTGCGCCTTGTTTAGGACGACGATACGTTAAGTATCAGTTTGGCAGTTAACCTCAAACTAAAATTACCTAACGCTTCTTTGTTCCTCGAACATGGGATTCATTAGTTTCTGCGGCATAATCTGATCATGATATCACCGTCTATCTAACAAGAACGTTTGTTGTTCATACGTGTTTTGTATCACATAAGAACATAAAAAAATTTGTTTTGTTTCTCAGTAGATACGATGACAGATGGATGCGTACATGACGGATGAGGTTAGGGTAAATTAGGTTAGTTGTTTTCAGTTGTTGTTCTGCTACAAAACACAAACAGAGACTACGTTTTGATATTCACTGCCAATACTGGAAATCTATAGCACACGTGACTTGAAGTATAGATGTTTAGTACTGGCAGTGAATATCAGACGCGCAGTTAGAGACATATTATGTGAAGTTAGCTCACTGTCAACATCGATTGCTGTTCAAAATGATGCAGTTTTCGGAAGAAGGCGAAGCGCTGAAGGATAAAAGTCGGTGTGCCAATATTCGCGCGGATCTAAAGATCTGTTTGCTGGAAAGTGATTGCTGTAAAATTGTGAGTGAAGACAAATCCGCTACCGCGCTATAACCTAACAAGTTCACGTTCTTGTTCGCTATGCATGCATAAGTAGTACTTTTACGACGAATAATGCGTATTATAGCACGTGATAGGTTTATTTGTTTCTCTCGACAGTGTATGTTATCTAAAGATAATATCTTATTTTTGCATACATTGATTTCACATGCTCTGACTTGTGAATTGGTTTTGTGTACGTATAGGAAATTTAATATAGAAAAAAATATTGTGCGCAAGAGAGACATTGTCCGATCTATTAATATAAAAGAGAGAAGAAATTTTTACAGGGAGTATTTTTTGTGTTGCAGCACAAACGTAGCCCCAGAGAGTGCCTGCTTTTGCAAGATGGAACTGTACCTCAACAATGTTACGCCTTGCGCAATACCTTCTTCGAATGTAAACATTCTCTAGTGAGTACATATAAAAATTTCAACTAAAAAGTGAATTTTAAACGAAGTGCATTTCTTTTTCTGAAGGGGACAGAAAGTGTGTGCGTAAAAACACATAATTTACATGAGAATATCGCTTTGACTTTCTTTACAGATCGACGGCAGACGGCGATTTAGAGGTCCGAAAGGATATTAGTTCAATAATGTGACTAAAATTGTGTTATTATGTATATATATATATATATGTATATTCTTGAAAAGTGTATTTTTTGTATTAGATATTTCATAACGAAATATCTCTGTGAATACGATCCGCAGAAAGATGTGCGTAATTGTAAGGAAGGAAAGATACATGCTGTAAGCAGTTTTTAATATTAGAAGTGATTTATTATTATTCATCATATTCGTTGTACATGATTTTAATAAATTTTATCGTACTTGCGAAGAGTAGCAATGTATATCGTACAATTCATCGCATTTGTACGCGAGTCGCGGTACAAATTTCCAAAGAGATTTTTTTTTTTTTGTTGAGAGGCAAGCTCGTTGCCGCGTTCTGACAACGAGAGATACGACGCTTTGTACAGTCGCAAAGTTGCTTTGAAGAGGCATATTTGTCTGTGCAGAGCGAAAGTTTCTTTTGTAGACAAATGAGAGACGCCGCGTTTTTCTCTTCTCGAGAAACAAAAGCGGTCGTTCTTAACCCTTTCGTAGGTAGGTACACCCTTGTGTTACAAAGACCAGAGATCAAGATTTCTTTTTTTCACGAGAAAAACTATTTCTGTGGTCAAATAAGTTTAAAAACTATTGAGAGAGAATATATTTCAAGTGTGTACATGTACTTAATACTGAAAGGGTTAACAGATGTGTCCAGTCTCTTGTCTTGAAACGATATCACATTTAAAAATTTTTTTTTGCACATGTACCGCGTGAGAAGTTAAAACATACTTTCAGCATATAACTTAACAAATGTGCGAATGCAAACTTAGTCAAATATTTGATTGGTTTAATTAATATTTTATCTCTTGATAAGATCGTAGACTGGACACGATTGACTGACTGGTTTAATATCTCACAGCTGCGTTTTTTTTTTTCTTTTTTTTCATCGCATAAATGAACGTGAACATGGTATCGAACATGATACGCGCGATACGATCATCACAGAGTAAAATCGCGAACTTTTCTCACATCCCGCTTTTTTTTCTTATAATTAAGAGCATCATTTTTTTTTGTTCCACTTTGTGTTCAGCGAATACGAATTTCGGGGACGTACGATAAGCAAACGCCAACGTTACACGGGTCGGGGGAGGAGTGTTTTATTACAAATCTACCGGTCGGCAATTACGCCTGCGTAATCACCCTAGCTATTGTCTGTATGCAACAAGCGTATATTGGCTATACGATTTTGTTTGTACTACAATGCCAACTCACGCTACTCCTCTCCACTTTCTAAAATGGCTATAGGCACCTAGAAAAAAGTGGGATCTGCACAAGTTTTTCCCGCGCACGCCTTTTTTTATTTTTTCTTCTTTTCCACGTGTGAGAACTTTCGGGTCAAGTGCGGATAAAATACAAACTCGTAAATTTGATCATCTCTATTTGTTTTACGTAAAAGGTAAAATTTTACCGATAAGTAATTGTCGTAACGCAATTTAAAAAAAAAAAAAAAATACATTATCGTAACTCTAAAAGTATTATTTTTAATATTTGTGCTCGGTGTGTCTGTTCAGAAACAACATTTTTGTGCAACAAAATTCATCGAAATGTCTCTTTCGTGTGTGACAAAAAAGAAGAATGTTCGAACCGGCGTATCGAGATTTATGTATATTTGCGTTTTTTTTTTTTTTTAAGATTGCAATTTACCTACATTCGCATCAGATTCCACGAGCGAGTCAATAACATTCGCGTATACTGATTGTATACTGATATACAATATCAAATATGAAGATAATCGATAAAAGACTTGAAGTTTATATATGTACGTTTCTACCGCGTCGGCCTTCGAAAGTTTCTGCTACTTTGTGTGTGCCTAAGTCACCTAAATTTGATTTCAAGAGTAGCATTTTACAAGAGTAGATTTTCCGAGAGGGATAATCCCGTTTTTGTGATATATGTACGCCGCTCGCTCGAATATCACAGTTTATCGAGTATGATATGTAGATAGCGATTATTAGTTATCAAGAGTAATAAAAGTATGTGTGTTGCGGTTATGCGCTTGCGTAGGATGACCAAACGTTTTTTTTTTCTCTCGTTTTACATTTTCCCGAGGAGTTGAGTGTCGCAGATTCTTTTTATACTTAAATGGATTATTTTGGACACACTTAATTTTTCTTATATGCGTATATTTTCTTATTACGTATATTTCACAGCATTTTCCGTACGTAACAATTTTATTGTTCGGTTTGTTTCAATTCGTTTTTTTTTTTTTTTTTTTTCCAACTTTTATCTCGTTTGGTGACCCGACTGCCGCGACGTTCACTTTTTTTGCACAATGAACGAAATAGTAAAGTCGAAAAATACAAACAGGGTCCAGTGGCGTATCTAGTCGAGCATGCAGGCCGTTCCGTCGATTCTCGACGAAACTTATCTAAAGCGTATACGAAGTTGCACTCCTTATGATATAGATAGTACGATAAGAAATCACAGTGTCTCGTTCGTCAGCAGCGTTTTTGTTTTACGATATTATTCTCCGAGTCTTGCAAATTATCTTTTTTCTTGGCACCCGCTAAGACTTCAGTTACGTTTCTGCAATCAAAAAATTGATATTAAAAATAAAAATCTTCGATATTTATCGATAGTAAAACTTATTTTTATTTGCTTTCAATTGTGTTTTTTTTTTTGCACTTAAAATTAGAACAAAGAATATTAGAAATGCGACGATACCGTTTCGCTTGGATTTTTCCGCGGAGGTACACGTGATGCGATTCGAAACGATGCTCCACGCAGACTCCAGCAGCTGGGTAAGGAATCAGAAACACACCGAGGGTCTATAGAGCCCGGTGTAGCCGCAGAGACGTGCACGTAGCGCCGGCAAAAGTATCGCCGCGGCCGACAGATTGTCTTGCAACTGGGAGCACTCGCAGATCAGCAAATACATCTTGTCGCCCTGCGACATCGATTTGTGCAACGTGATGCGTCTTAGACCCACCGATTTCGGCAGATATCGATACATCATACGCGCGCCTGTGACACATGAGAGACAAAAATACCGATCAGAATTACATTACGTAAAATAGAACAATTTTTTTGGATAATATAACCGTAGAAAAAAAATAGAAAAAAAATGCGAGGAAACACTCACCTGTCCAGTAGAGCCAATTTTGTTCAAATTTGAGACCGTCGTCGCCCTCGAAAACCTTGAAAATCGATACTATGTAGCCGGTGGATGGAATAGGCGGTCTTCCACCGGGCGGTTCGAGCGGTGGTCTCGCGATGGTCGCCACCTCGTTGAACAGGTCCAACGTGTGACTGGCCGCGTATCTGAGATCTCGCGGGTCGAACTTACGCAGGGCCGCGCACTGAACCTCGTTGTAAAAGTCTAGCGGATCCGTGTTCTGCTTGTTTATCAGATAATACGTGATGAACGGGAAGTCCGCTGAAAAGTTCGCATTTGGGAAATTCAGAACTTGATTCACGATCTTGAAAAGACTTGTAAGTGAATAGACTGCCGATTCAAAAGTGATATCCTACGTACCGTTCTTCTCCATATTTGTGAGTAAAATACTTTGCGACGCGGTGGGTGCTATCTCGGCGACCAATTCCGCGGCGGTGTCGCGTTGCAGCACCAACGGACGAGACACTGGAGATTCGACCAAAGGGTCCAGAGGCTCTAACGGTGTCATAAAATGCGCGAGAACACATTGCTTCGGGTCCTCAACCTCGAGAACCGACAGCGGACTGCCCGGTCTCTTTTTATCGGCGACTGGTGCATGCTTTGAGCACAAAATATCGAATCTTATACAGCGAAACATTAACAGTAAAACCAATGAAACAACATATTAGTCAAAAATAGTTATAGCACATTCTGTTATTGTTATTTATGTTAATTTCTTTGTTGAGTGCAGTCGAACATGTGCGTGCACGGAGAAAGTTTTGCTATTATACGGTCAGGGAGAAAAATTTTTTGAGTCTGAATTTTTGTTTCATCAACAAAATAGTTTCGAAACAAAAAATGGTGACAAAACAAAAATCTCAATAAACAAATTTTTCTTGCTATCAAGAAACCAGACTAGCAAATTTTTTATATATTTGTTGTGTGTGTGTGTCAATTCACGTTTTATTAAACGCGCATCTCTGAATCGCAGATTTATTAGCTTTATGCCGTCTGGTGTGCTTTATGCTATTTTTAGATATTCGGTTTAGACTGCGACGCAAGGTCGCAGCTCGGCGAGAATCTAAGGCCAATACCTTGGCCACTGCAGTTTTGGCAAACGCGATGGGGGACGCAGCTTGTGGTATTTTCTTTGTACGGTGGCGTGTAACGCATCAAGCGCGAAACTGAAACGTAAGGTCAAATAACTTACTGGCACACCCGCTGGTAAAAAACGCTCGAGTGAAGCGAGAGGTATGATGAAACAGTCGCGGTCCAAGGTGGCCAACGAGATCGGTTCGCCTCGCGGTGGACTGTTTCCGGAAACCACAAGGGGTGTGTAAGTACCGGAAGCGCGATTGCCGCTGAAGGACACCTGCTACAAAGAGGTAACGCAATTAGAGAATATTATCAGATGTATGTTACGCTCGCAATACTATACACAAATGTGTGTGAGCGTCACATGTCGTGCGAGACAAAGTTGCTTTTCACATCAATTACATTTAACATCTCTGTATAATAGTGCTAGTACGTTAAAACCGACACAAAGTGCGCAATGTCGGCACTAAAAGTCGTTAATTAAATGAAACATCGTTTATAATCGCGTTTAGAAGTGTCGTGAGATCGCGCGATTTCTCTTTCTCTCTTGATCATCGATCATCCGATGCGAGAAATTTGTTGCAAGTAGAACGTCAAAAGAGACAAAATATATAAAACCCGCTTTTTCGCATATAAAAACATTTGCATTTGTAGACTCGAGAGAATCGATATCGTTTTACGAGGCCGTAAGTCAAGACACGGTTGCAAAGAAGTTAAAGATGAAAAAGCCGGAGAGAGAAAGAGAGAGAGACACTGTGTGTATGTTTCACACGCGCGGATAGTATCTATAGCGCAAATAACGCTTATAACGGCAATAGTAAAGATGTCAAGGTAATACGTGCCCGAATAAAATGAAAACGGGGCTGTAAGGAAGATATAGGCAAAGAGAAGAACGGTCTGGCGTTCACACGTACAACATATGCTTCGCCGTTCGACTCGGACTCGACTCTTACTACTTGCGTCTGAGACACGAGCGAGTCACCATTGCGCCGTCGGTACTTTCCCATCGTAAACGTTTGATGTTCCAACCTTGGCACTCGTGTAGGCCTCACGTTTTATAGTTCACGTGCGCGCGCGATGCAGCGCGGTTTATGTTGGACGTCAATTTTGCAAGCGCGCTCGACATTGCGATTGATCACACCGCTCCGCAATTTTTCATTGCGACCGGTAGCCGCGAAACGTCGTCTTTTATAAAATAGACATTTTCTTTTGGAGAAAGAGAGAGACAGTTTTTATCATTTATCCGAGTGTTTATTTTTCTTAAAAAATCCACAGAGAAGTAAAAAAAAAAAAAAAACCGCACAATATAGTTGACAAACATCTGCTTGAATTAATTTTGCGATTATAAAGTTTACCGCGCAAATTGCAGCTAAGATTTTCCACATATCGTTGAGTTCGGTACATTACTGCAACGGCGACATACATGGAAAATAGTTGCGCGTACATTGTTAATGTATTGTGCGAAGTGCACACATGCGAGCAAAAACTTTCGCGGTCGATAGCAATTTGCATGTTGTTTAAGTGTGTAAAAATAGTGTGTCGAATAAAAAACGCAGGTAACTGCGAAGACGACTCATACATTGTGTTTTCACGCACGCGGCGAGACATGTTTGTGTCTTTACACATCACTTTCCGAGAGTTTCACGCTCGCTAGTTGGTTTTAAATAATAAGAATGCAAGTCGGTTTATTTCGAACAACAATTGAAATGAGAAAGTAGTTCGATTCGATAGTGACAACAAGTTGTTTACATATATCGCATGATATATTCCGCGCGTCGCAACATGTTGCCGCATTACATTCCATCCTGTATGTATGGCATTTTCAAGCAACAGCAACTCCGAACACGGAGCATCGTGTCGTTGCGTTTATATTAATTAGAACATCGGATAGAGCGACCGTTCCGTGCAATAATAACACTCCATGGGGAAATATTAAATTGTGTGTATCGCGTTTCTTTCATTCAGTACGCGACAGAGACGAGGAAGCGTGCGGTAAATTTATATCGATCCGCGTTTGTATTATTTTTAGATAAAACCAAAGAAAATTGAATTTTTAACAGATACAGCTAGAGAATTGTTTCATTTGTATACGTGTGTGGAACGCGCGAGCCTTTGCATCGCATATATTGCAGCACGCATGCAATTCTCATGCATTCACACGCGGCGGGGACGCGTTTTCTGTATTTATATGTTCAGTCGATACGCAACAGAAAGAAAAGCGTCTGTTGCGTGCCTTCATTTTGATATTTAATCGCGCCGCGCGTCGGGTATGTGCGACAATGGTGAATGCTTACGACGCACGTACGTACATTTGTAAAGGTCAAAGTTTGTCACACGACACTGCGGTCTTTGTCGAATCGTAAAAGCCGCAGAGCAATGCCTCAATCGCGAATTTCCGCGTTTACGTGCCACGTGTGGCACGTTCTTGTCGATCACGTGAGAAGCGTAACGAGATGTTCGTTACAAGTCTCTCGTATATATATGTATACATACAAGTATATATCATTTTATATATATATTCTTTCTATATTTTATATATGTATAATATATATAAATATATA